ATTTATTTTGTCCCACAATTTTCAAATAGTAGCAATTCTTCCTTACTCTTATGGGCCCAACAGTCTATGCTGTTGATAGAATTTATGGGAATGCCACGTTACCATGAGAATGGGTAAATTAGTAATTATATATTAATTTATTTTTACTAAAAACCAAAACATGGGCGTGAATAGGTGAACTGCCCAAAACGTACCCAGCCCAAAAACAGTTTCAACAGCCAAAGTTAACCCTTATGTCGCTATTCATAATGCTGAATGTGTATGCCATCGAGACATCATTTTTAAAATATATATATATATATATATATATATCGTAAGGAGTAAGACTGAAAACTTGCCATCATGATTTGTCAAAATTGTTTATGAATCACTTCATCATCATCGAAGGTAATTCAAAGCTCATCATTTCTTATTTGCAAAAAGTGTTGGCCCCTTTATGGAGATTAAATAACATCATTGAAAATTGTTGGAGTTGATGAATCATTTTGAGAAGGGCATTACTTATAGACATGTGTACCATTAAATAGAGGTCTCAAGGAAGATTATAATAGTTAAAAGAAAAAGCAGGAAGAGAAGATGACATCGTCTTGTGAGTGAGCCAATCCACCACCTGATTTGCCTCTCTAAACACGTGTCCGTATCGTACACCTCCCTCCAGCTGCTCCTTAATCTTTAAGCAACTCAGGATGATGTTCTTAAGATTCCACGGGGGATAAATCTGCCATTTTAAACAATTAATAACAATCTTTGAGTCCCCCTCAAACATAATGGACGATCATTAAAGTTGAGAGCCAGATTGTGAGCTTCCCACCAATGCCTCAGCCGCATTAATGGAAGTAGTGTCAAGAATTGAGCATTTGAAATCCAAAACCCTCCCCAAATGGTCCCTAACAATTGCTGCAATGGAACAAAAACTATCCCTCAATCCAGAGACATCAAAGTTGATGGGGGGGGGGGGGGAGGGTGAAGGGAACGTTGGCTTTATAAAGCTGACTGATTGGCGGCCCATAAAGCTTATTCATATAGGGCAAGCTCTTAATCTTGACATCCATGATCTACCTTGGACGTTGGCTTATATTTGTGCTAGTAATTTTCAAGGATATGCTACCCCTGTTATGTGTAGCACTGTTTTTTACATGAAAAAAGCCTATGATAAATTAGAATGGAATTATCTATAATTAGTTATGCAAAAAAAGGGGTTCCATGAAAAAATGGATAGGATGAGTCATGGAGTGTGTGACTACCCCAAGTTTTAAGATTATAATAAACTGAACCATAACAAGGAGTTTTCATCCAAGTAGATGGTTAAGACAAGGGAACCCTCTATTCCCGCATCTATTTGTTCTTTGTTGTGAAGCAGTTACAAGGCAAATTCAATCAATATCAATTTGACAAAAGGCAACCTCAAGAGTCAAAAACCTCTAGAAGTGGACCAAGAAATCCTATGCTTTAAATTTGCAGATGAATGTGTAATTTTTGCAAAATCCAATAGGGAAGTGTGCCATAATATAAAGGATATATTGGATAAATTCACAAAAAGCATCGGGTCAAAAACCCCAATTTTCAAAAAATCTTCCATGATGTTCTCCAAAAATGTCCTCCCTGGATTCCAAATAATTTTATCAATTCCCATAGGAATTCCAATACCAAACAAAGAAGGAAAATACTTAGGAGCACTTCTAATTATTCAACGGGTTACAAAGAAAAAAAAAAATCAATGAGGTGGTAGAAAAAGTAAAGAAGCAGTTAGATGGATGGAAAAGTAAAACTCTATCCTTAGGAGGGAAAGTAACACTCCTAGAAGCAATAGCAGGGGCCTACCTCAATTTCAAATGAATTCCTTTAGCATGTCAAAAGAAACATCCAAGCAGCTAGATAAACTCCAGAGGAAGTTCTTATGGGGAACAAAGCAAAATAACAAACCCTCCACGTTGACTATTGGCAACATTAACCAAGCAAACTTGATGAAGCTTGGCTAGAAAAGAAAAAAAAAAAAAAACATTTGGGTGCAAGTGGTTAGGAAAAAAATACTTAAAAAAAATATTAGGAGAGGAATGAGATGGGGAATTGGCAATGGGACATTGTGTAATGTTTTTGATTGATAATTGGGTGGAAAACCAACTCCTCAACAACATTCTAGAATTGGAAACGATAACCCAAGAGCAAATCTCACCACACATCTTAGACAAAGTACTAGAAATTTGCATCCTTACCATCAAGCAAGAGGACTATAGAGTATGGGGTCCTAGTATAAACAACCAACTAACAATGAAAGAGGCTTGTAATTTTTTAAGAGACAATATAGCTCTGGAACCATCACTGGTTAAATTAATCATAAAATCGAGGCTTTAAAAAAAACAAAAAATAATTATTATGGCTATTATTATTAAACAAAACCCTATCAAAGAAAAACCTCTGGGATAAGGGCTTAAACATCCAAATGGATTGTTCCTTTTGTGGAATCCTATAAGATAGAGATCACATTCTAGCCAAATGTCAAGTGGCCAAACAGGTGTGGATCTTAATGGATAACCAAGCCTACTTATCTAGAAAAACTGAAACTAAAAAATTATCTGAAACAATTTTTTTACCTCTCTAGAAATTTTGGCACAACGACGATCACAGTTGCTGAGATGTGGACAGTCTTGGAGGCCCACAAGCTTGTTTCACAAGTTCATTCTCAAGCCATCATCATCATCATCGTCGAAGACAACCCTCTTCTGGTCATCAACATTCTTCAAGGCAAGGTGAAGATTCCATGGATGTGACTCTCAATAGTAGAGGAATGCAAATGCATAGTGCAAAGATCAAATGCAAGCTTCATGTGCACAACACACCTAACACTCCGAGTAGGTTACTACAATCGAGCTCGAGCTCTAGAATCTTGAGCTTGAGCTTGGCTCGAATCAAAACTTATAAGTTCGAGTTTGATTTGAGAAAAAATGTTTTATAAAAATAAAAAATTATATATAAAAAATATTTTTATTTGATATTTTAAAAATTATGAATTATAATATATTATTTTTTATAATTTTATTATATATATATATATTATATTCAAGCTCGACTCCTTTATAAATTGAACCTGTAAATTGGATTCGTACAATCGAATTTTAAACTAAATTTGAATAGCTCATAAAAAGTTTGACTCGTGGCCACCCCTAAGTCTCCGAGTGAGGGCAATTTTACAGTATATTGATGGGCAAACAAAGCATAAGAGCACGAAGATGTCACACTATCAAGTTACCCTTGGATCTAAATTTTCTTGTTTTTCTTGATGCATCGGGTCGGGTCTGCCCCGTGGTGCAGAACCCGGTGTGTCGTGATAGCCAAGGCCGGCCTCCTGGCGTTCATAAAACGCGACGCTATGCGTCCATCAAACGCGAGCTGGGCTATACTTACCCCTGGCACTACTTCACCTTCGTCTGTATATGTTCCTTTCCCGTATCTCGCTCACTGGCTTCCCCCTCACACTTTTGAGAAGAAGATCTTCCGACCTTTCTGGTACATTAAACAAATATTATCTCCTTTTTAAACCTTCAGTACTTTGATTCATCGTTTTAAGTTTTTACGTCGATAGAGAAGGAAAGTAAGAACCCTAGCTCTCTCCCCCATCCCCTCTCTCTCTCTGTGTATTTGTATTTGAGGAAATGCATTTTTGTTCTGCCTTTTTTTTTGTAGCTTTGGTTGTTAATCTGAACTTACCGAGCGATATTTCATTCCATAGAGTGATTTGATTGAGACCATCGATGTCTAATCTCACGGGACTCAACACTGCTGCGGGTCCAAACCCAAATAAATCGTTCGAGGTAATCTATTATCCATCTTGGAGCTTATAATGGGAGCTAGATTTGTTCTTTTTTTATCAAACATCATTTTCTTGGGTCCTTTAACTAATCCTCATCATCTCCACTTGGGCATATTCCTTCCTGCTACGTGCCTATTAATCACTATTATCTTGTTGAATTAATATTTGGCCATTCAGCTATTCCAAGGAATCTATAGAAACAAATTACATAGCACCATCTCTATTCTTTAGTTTATATGAGCTTAAAATCAGTGATTACTGAATGCTATTCTTTAATTCTTGCAGGTGGTTCAACCTCCCACGGATTCTGTTTCCAGCCTTAGCTTCAGTCCCAAGGGAAATTACCTCGTTGCTACTTCTTGGGATAACCAGGTTTGTTTAATTGTTTCTGTCGGGTTCTTGATTTCCTTTTTAAGCTATTATTAACTTTCTTTTACTGTTTATTTTCATTCCGAGTTATTGAGCTCCGGAGAGCGTCATTTGTAAATATTTGTTTACTTTTCTTGCACAAAATTTGACAGGTTAGATGTTGGGAGATAGCACGTACAGGCCCCACTGTTGCCAGCATGCCAAAAGCATCCACATCGCACGACCAGCCGGTAACAAATTGGCAATTTACGTATTGTACAAGTCCACAATTTTGTATATGAATCTTAAGTGATAATGCTCTGCATTTCCAGGTCTTATGCTCGGCTTGGAAGGACGATGGAACTACTGTGTTTTCTGGTGGGTGTGATAAGCAAGTTAAGATGTGGCCATTGATGTCAGGTGGGCAACCTGTGACTGTGGCCATGCATGATGCCCCTGTCAAGGAAGTTGCTTGGATCCCAGAGATGAACCTCTTGGTTACTGGAAGTTGGGATAAGACTCTGAGGTATGCATTCTTCATTTATTTTCTAGATGGTCGTAATTTATTTTAAACAGTTAAGGTGATATTTGGGTTGGTATAGGTTTTAGCAATTTACTGCGACTTTACTACCAAAATAAATGCTGTCGTGGATGACTTATGGTCATGGACTTATTTTTGGTGTGGTAGATATTGCGTCTTAAGCATTCCCTCTCAGGGGAATGTACTGTTAACCATGATGTTTAGACAGCCCTAAACTACAACTTTTTTTATTGCTTATGGGAGTATCATTTGCATGTTATTTTATGTAATACTTTGATTCCTTCTGCAGTATGGGTTGAAGTAGCAAGAAATGATAATGATTTGAGGGCCCATAACTTAACTATTGATATGTCACTGAAAAGAGTGGAATGGTAGAACAGGATTCATGTAGCCTACCTCATCTAGTTGGGACAAGGCTTAGTTGAGTTGAGTTTGTTTCCTTTTTGAAGAATGTCAAAGCACACTGTCAATCTGCAATAAGGAAGATTAAAAGTGTTGGATGTAATGTGCTGAGTTTTGGAATCTCCCTCTCTCTCTCTTTTCTCTCTCTCTCTCTCTCTCTCTCTCTCCCTCTCTCTCTTTCTCTTTCTCTCTCCCCTCCCCCTCCCTCTTTCACACTCAAATTTTGTTAATCATATTATTTATTTTACATGTATAGGGACAATCTAATTTTTTATATGCTTATATTGCAGAAGTGTTAACACATGTCACACATACACATATCCATTGGCACGTTTGTTTCCCTCTCTGTAGGTTTTTGATGGATTGCTGCATCCTATTTTACCAGCCACAAAATTTTTCCCGTCATGGTCGAGAAGAACTTGGTGGTATTTCAATGTCAAGACATATTTCTTTTGCATGCTTCATTGTTCATGGAATTTGGGAACCATCCCTTCCCATGCACCCCTCATAACAATAAGGCTTCAAGGGCAAAATCTTGCACAAAATTTGGGGAAAGACATAAGGACAGTAATAAATCTTAAAGTGCAGTTTTCCACATTCTTCCATGTCCTTGGACCCAGATGCAGCATTTAAACATTATCAAGTCCATAGTAATTTTATTTATAGTTATAGAGTCTAGATTTGGTGTCAAGACTTGTAAAGACATCCTATTCAAGTTTGTATCAAGGGAAGCTAATGAGCTTGTGGACGAGGTAGTCAATTCAGGGATGGAAGGAGTTTTTGTGATAACGCTTGGTTATGAATGGTTTGTTGTCTTTCTGCCTACTATTTTGTCCTTTTCCTCCTATAATGCGACCATCTATTATTTATGCAAAAGAATGAAATGAAATAGAACTGGGATACTTGACATTTGATATACGGTAAGCAGAATAAATTTCATTTTGGATGCATGTCCCTAACATGTGTTGCATTGGTTATGTTTATATGTGCATATAACATTGTCTTTGCTGGAGTCTTACTTAGTTGTTGATGTTTGATTCTAATGGCTTTTCTATGCTATCCAGGTACTGGGATACTAGACAGTCAACTCCAGTCCATACTCAGCAGCTGCCTGATCGTTGCTATGCACTAACAGTTCGCCATCCTTTAATGGTTGTTGGCACTGCAGATCGGAATTTGATAGTGTTTAATTTGCAGAATCCTCAGGTATTGGTTTTAAGACTAATTGGTTAAATGATTGACTATTGGTGAAAAAGATGGTGGCTATTAGTTGAATTATCACATGTGGTTGTTCGTGGTTGTCTATGATTCGCTGGCAATATGTTTTCCAGTCTGTAGTCTGTGAAAATATTAGGTCTACCCATTTTGACTTTTAGGTTTCTATGGTGGAATTTCTGGGCTTTGTTGTTTGTTGAAAAAATTTACCCTCTGTTAATGCTAACCTGCTATATTGTGAAAGTAGTTCAAATGTAATAACTGATCTTAGGTTCAAAAGCCATCCTAAACCACTTCACCAACCAACTAATTACCATGCTTAATCACCTTTGTGCCATGGAAACTGATGCTTTCCTAATGAAGAAGTGTGTAGTCTGGCTTTCAAAGTAATTCATTATCTATTACTCTTGATGTTTGTTTTCTGCTAGTTAGAATATCAAGTTCTAGGAATGCAATATGGCCGTTTCTTTTAATTTAATCAGTATTCTTTTACTCTCTGACCGGTTTTTGTGGAGTCATTTCAGTTTTAGTTCATATGCCTAAAGGTAGTTTCATGGTAGACAGATAGATATTGATATTTCATACCTGGTCAAGCCTCAAATACATGACTTCTTGCTGCAGAATTGCAGGATTTTGCCACTAGAAAATGAGTGCATTGAGTTACTCTCATGCTTTTTTAGTGGTCTTTCCATTATCATCTAACTTTTGTAGTATGGACAGCTGCTTGTCCATATTTTGTGTGCCATTGGACATCCTTTCATGTACTCTTTTGCTTTGGATATATAATACTATTAGTACATACATACACATTACCTTTTCTTGAAGAAAAAAGAATGTTTGACTGTTTGAGTTAGATATTGTATTCCTATCTATGTCTTTACTTTCCAAGTTTTTTAATGTTGGACCATGAAACTTAGATGTTTCATCAGGATTATTATCTGTTTGAACCTCTTGTTAAGGTGGTTTCCAAGATTAGCCTTTTCTTTTTTCTTATAGTTATGCTATAGTGGATGTGAGAAATGTTGGATTATATGATGTAGAGGGTTGGTAAGTGTGAGAATGCGGGCAGCCACTTTTTGCGAAAAAATGCCAAAGGTAAGGACGACACCCAGCCTACCTTCCCCCTCCCAAGCGAGGTTCAAAGTATTGATACAGTCCGATATACCAGATGGGGCAGATTGGACTTTGTAACAACATGCTTTACATTTTTTATTTTCAAACCTGTTCAGGGGGTTCGGTATAAGGCCTGTCTACCCCTTGAAACAGGTCAAGCCTTGAAACACCCATTATTTTGCATATTGGCGACCCATTGATATGGGTCAATACATTGCAAAATTTTAATCCTTGCTTCCAAGATCCCAGATAGCTGGGACCAACATTGGGTGATGGCCTTTATTATGTAGGGTTGGTCCTTGTTTTTTTTCCCTTTTTCTGTTTCATGTGGCTTGGTTTTGTTCCTGTCAGCTTCCTCTTTCCTCTTGTGATTCATGAGATCTACCATTTCTTTCTTTTTCTAATGATATCTTTTTGCAGTTACTGATAAATAAAAAAAAAAGGAAAAAAATGACTGCAAATGGTAATTGCATGAGTGGAGTAACAGTACTGGATCACATGGGCAAGTTTATGCAATTGTCAGATCTTCTCTTAGGCTAATTTAACTGTAAAATGGGGCTCTCTGACTCTATATACAGTATATGTTAGGAACTTAGAAGCATGTCTAATCATGAAAAAAAAAGAATTACTGAATTGGGTGTGGAAGGGTTTTTCTTTTTTTTTTTTCCTTCAAAATATTATTGTAAATATCCTGGAAAGAGGGAACATAAGGTTTAAGATTCTAGTCTCTCGGTTGTTACTTCTTTCTGAAATAAAGTGATTAAACTGGTAGGAATAATAAATATCCTGGAAAGAGGGAACATAAGGAAGTCATTATAGGAGGTACTCTATTTGGGCTTTGCATTTTGAGGGAGTATGGTTCACAAATTTCAAAGGAGAAAATGACTGATTGATCTGATGTAGTGAGTTTTATTTGCTGTAGTCTTGCCATGCTGCTGTTCAAGCTTCAACTTAATTAGATGGTAGAAGCAAGGAAGCAAAGACATTGAATGGCATAATAGTACTAGGTTTCTGAATTTCAGGCTTTGGAATAAAAAGAAGATTGGATGGCATAATAGTACTATGTTTCATGGGAGATGGGGAATGGAAGTAAGAATAGGAAGAGTGATACTTCTGAATGAGCCAGGGTTTTCGGCTGCTATTATGCAGTAGTGTTGCTGCATTGTAATACTTGCTTAAACTTTCTCCTTAGTTTAATTATTAGTAGACCTGTTCATGGGCCAGGCCGGGCTTTCACTCTTAATTAACAGATTTTTTAAGGCCCGAGCCCTGCCCGATCATCGGGCCTACAACTTGGGCCCAAGCCCGACCTTCATAAAAAGCCCGAAGCTTGGGCCCGAGCCCGAAGTCTAAAGTTGATGCCGCTGCTATTGCTGAAGCGGAGGGAGGGAGAGAAATAAAATAAAAATTGTATATATTAAATTATTAATATATATTATAATGGATATTATATATTTTATATTATATAAATTAATTGGGCCGAGCTTTTTTGACAAATCCTGAGCCCGGCCCGAAACACAGTCGGGCTTGGTGTTTTGGGCCTGAGGTCAGGCCCGCGGGCCTAATTACATGTCCAAGCCCGACCGGGCTACCTGGCCCATGAGAGAGAGAGAGAATAAAAATTGTATATATTAAATTATTAATATATACATATATATCATAATAAATATTATATATTTTATATTATATAATTTAATCGGGCCAGGCTTTTTTGATAAATCCCGAGCCTGGCTCGAACACAGTCAAGCTTGGTGTTTTGGGCCCGAGGTCAGGCCTGCGGGCCTAACTACATGTCCAAGCCTGATCGGGGTGCGGGCTGGGCTGTCGGGCTACCCGGCCCATGAATAGGTCTAATTATTAGTGTGTCCTGATTACATGTATACAAAATTACAAATATAACACAGTTTTTGACCATCTTAAACAATACAATGAGGCTTACCTAGGAGTCTTTACTTTTACATGTGGTATATTGCATTGCTGTGATATTTTTATAATGTCTTCCATGTATCAAACAAATTGTGTAGATTGTGGGTTGCTATACTAAATAGTCACACAGATGCAGGTTCCTAATATTGTCAGACAATCCAACGAAACTATGGTTATTATTATTATTTTTTTGATCAGTAACTAAACAGTGGTTTTATTAGTTGTTGTAAAGAATAGTATACAGTTTGTAATTGTACAAGCACCTAATGAAACCATGGTGTTTGAATATTTTGGTTATTCATGCGGGTACAATCTACAAACTTGGTTGTGATATCAAAAACACCAATTTGAAATATGTACCAGTTTAATGTTCCCTGTGCTGTTTGTGTTCTTTTCTTTTATCTATCATAATAGTGCAGAATTCTTGGGTTACAGTAAATATTTTTCATCTTTAATTGCTTTCATTTATGCATCTTTAACATTCTAATTATTGCCTAACTACCTACAGACTGAGTTTAAGAGAATCACTTCGCCTCTGAAGTATCAGACAAGATGTGTTGCTGCATTTCCTGATCAGCAAGGTTTCTTGGTAAATAAGTTTGTTTTCTATATGTTTTACTACTTGTATCTCTTCTATTTCTGATTTCTTATTTTGATTAGGCAAGAAAAAAATTTTAAGCATGATATGCAATCATAACTGTTTATAACTACAACACATGCTGCTGCTTTAATAATTGAATCCTGGTTCACTTTTTCGTTGAGACTAATGATCTTTTGTGATTCTTTTCATTAAATTTAACAGAAGCTTATCCTTCCTCTGTTATAAAATATAGCTTCTTTACTTGTATTCTGGTCTGGTTGCGAGTAAAATCTAAAGATAAACTAATTTTATCTACTTCAGTTGTAGCTTTGCATACTAATGTAAAATATTTCAGGCTGACAAGCGTGAGAACACAGATTTGAGTTAAGTCATGACTGATGAGTGGTAGGGGTGCAACTTGAGCTAGGTTGGGTTGGGTTGAGATTAGGGGTGTCAATTGGACTGGATTTGGTCCAATCCGATCCAGTTCAATGTGAGTCCATTATCAATGGACCAGGTCCAATCCAATCCAACGAATGTTTTGGACCAATTTGGACTGGTCCAATTCAATGCCTGGACCGTCCAATCTGTTCAAATTCATTTTGTTTTAGATTGGTTTCAACCCAAACCTGGTCCATGACACATATATTCTTATCTTAAATCAATGGACCAGATATTGGCTTAATTCAACCCAATCCAATATAAATTTGTTATGGACGGATGAGGTCCAATCCAATCTAATAAATATTTTTGGACCGGATTGGTCCAAATTGATTTTGGACTGGACGGGGTCCAATCCAAAACTGGTGCATTGACACCCTTAGTTGAGATCAAGCTGAGCCCAAGCAGTGGCAAGTGTACCTCAACACTTATCTGACCTAATCAATCATCAACCAAATGAGCCCAACCTGGCATTAAAAATAGAATAATCCAACCTGGAAAACTCAGTTTTTCTTAATTGGATTTGGTTGAGTCACGTTTGCCTGAAAAATGCAGGACAAAAATCTCAGCTATTGTGAAACTAAAATTACTTAGCACTTTATAATACTTAAAGATAATAGGACTATAATAGTTTATACATAATACATGCATGTGTAATAAAATATATACAAGGGGTAGGATTTGGGTTGGATTGGGTTGCCTGAGGCCTCAACTCTAACCCAACCTATCCAAAATTGTGTTGGGTTGAACTTGGTTTCTAAAATACCCCAATTAAACCAGGCTCAGAATTAGGTTGGGTCAGTTGGGTTTTGGGTTGGCTCACCCATCCCAAGAACCTAGATAGATGGGGCCAAAATTGGGTTATGGCCTTTTTATGTGCAAGACCTGCAGATGCTTGCTTATTTGACAACAAGCATTTTGTTTTGAAGTATTGGCTCTGTAGATATTTCTGATATTTTTATTTTTTTTTTTTGAGAAGGTAAGGTAAGGTAAATTCCCCAACATATTCAGTCAAGTTATCTTAGACTTGATTTCATGACGCCAACATGACTTGACATGTGATGATGTGTTGAGTTGTGAGTTCCTTGAAGAAGTGGGATATTTTTTTTTGTCATTACTGTGCATAGTCCCCCTAATTTTAAGAAGGAAATAGGAAGGTGAAAAATAAGGCTGAAAATAAAAAGCTAAAGAGCATCTTGGACTATGACCATCATACACCAATTATTCAGAGAAGAGATTTTATTTTTTCTTGTATACCCATCTGGAATATCTGAGAATTCAAAAGTTAGAAATTTTGACTAGAAATACATAAAATGGAAGAGAACCTGTTTGCTTGCTTTACATGTATGCTCCATGCTTTATTGAGCTCATATGTGCACCCTGGTTCATAACTTCATATTACCAGATTTGGGCCCATTAATTTTTGCAGTCTTTCACAAAACATCAAAATCCTGATCACACATTTATTACTATAATATTTATTGGTTGAGGTGATTTGGCCATCATAAATTCATAATGTTTAGCTTGTATAGATGTATAACCCATTTCTCATGTACATTTGCTATCTCTAATACATTTTTTTTTTTTAAATTAGTATGATAAGTAATTTCCTTCATAATATCTTCTAGCTCAAGGTTTGAATTAAGAGTTAAGTCATTTAAGTGTTCAAAGCAAGAATATGGAATTTCCATTAGTTTTATAAATAAATACTTCTTTCTCTAATTAATTTGTACCTTTTAACTTTTCAACATTTATATCTTATAACACACAACTCTTTCTGTTGTTCATTATTCAGTCTTGTTTTTTTTCCCCTTCCCACTTTGTATTTCAAATTTGTTGAGAACTTTGATAGATTTTACTCTGAAGCTAGTTTTGAGATTTCTAAACATGGTGCTTTGGCTTATTTTAGGTTGGCTCAATAGAGGGAAGAGTTGGTGTTCATCACTTGGATGATGCTCAACAAAGTAAAAACTTTACTTTCAAATTCCACAGAGAGGGAAGTGAGATCTACTCAGTCAACTCTTTAAACTTCCATCCAGTAAGATGATTGACTTTCAGTTTTTTTATTACAAGTTGTTTTTCTTTTCATGTGTTACTGTTTCCAACAGTTTCAAGTTTGTCTTTCTTGCATTGGCTGGTAGAAGGTTGTCTTTAGAGATAGTAAAGTATATATATACTTGCCAAGAAAAAATATATTTATTTATTTACCGATCAAAAGAATATTTATTCATTTATCTATGCTGGTAGAAAGTTTCCAGCCATCCTAGTTAAGATTTAGTCTTTTTATAGTTTTATTTTTGATGCCTAGGGGTTAATTTCAGTTAGGGTGGGGCCTGGCCCAATTTTTTTTCTTTGTTTTAGCCAAACTTCTGCGTTTTTGGTGATTAGGAGAGCAATATCAAGTGCACCATACTAGTTTCTTTCTAGAACTTGTCCTGTTGCTTGCATCATGAAATGTTCTGATGGTCACCATGCGAATGTATGCATTGTGCAGAGTTCTTGTTTGTACTTGTTTACCATATTCCATGATTATGATGCAAATTTATTTTGAAAACTAAAGTTTGAAATTAACTTCTGATGGGTTTTTTGGATGTCTTAGAAATAGATTCTAATGTTTTTGATCAGTAACGGTTAAAGAGATTCTGATGAGCAACAAATTAAAGGCAAAATACAAACAGAAACAGGTGTTTGAATACTACTAAAAAGACAACATATATTCCAAAAAAATTCAAGTGTTTTTGAATTGACAAGGTTGCATTAGATTGCAGCACTATAAATTGTCTGCTGCATGGGATCACCCCCAAAAACAAAAGAAAAAGGATTATGTTGATATAAAATTTTCAAAATCACTCAAGAGACAAGTGAATTTTTAATTTAGTACAACAAAAGACACTTAAATTCCTTGTATAAAAAGTTGAGTATGGTGTCTGTGGCATAACCTTGGTGCATGTGAAACCCTGAAAGTCATGTGCTGCATCAGCTCCCTCTAGTTGGTGGATCTCATGTCCAGCTTGCAAATTCTTGAAATGAGTGTAGGTGACTGGGAGTTCTACTGATCTGAACTTTGTTAATTTAGTTGAATGGTTTAAGAGAAAAAGGAATTCCATTATTCTTTTGGTTTATGCTATTAATGTGTTCATATCTTTGCAATTTTGGACATTATCAACCTAAAGAATTAGGCACACCAGTGGCAATATGGTCCTCAAAGTTATTTTCGATGTGCTTCTTAGCATCTTATGTTGGTTTGCAATTTTGCAGATACACCATACTTTTGCAACGGCAGGATCTGATGGCGCATTCAACTTCTGGGACAAGGACAGTAAGCAACGGCTCAAGGTCTGATCCCAACATTCCTTTTTCCCCTTTCTTCTTATTCTTTCTTCTTGGTTTCATTGGATGCAAGTTTCTGACAATAAACTAATTGCATTTTTTTTTTTTGAAGATCAAGCATCCTTCAGCACAAGTATATTCTTTAACTATTTTAAATTTGAGTTTGATTATGATACCGGAAAGTCATGATACCTGAAAACTTATAACCAATGAACCATTATCGTAGAAGTGGTAATCAATGAGGTGGTTATTTATCAAATTCACACGGGGTTTTGATTGGTCAAAGCACTTCTGGAATCATGTCTTTCCAGCAGCATAGTTTTTTCCTTTTAGTTTTAGTGATTGATTTACTGTCTGAGAGATGTCTAACGTTTTGTTTTTCTTTTTTGTTTTGTATTTGTTCAAAATTGATTTTGTCTGTGTTTTTTTTTGTACTTTGTTGTTTTCCTCATTAGAATATAGACTTAAAGATGGCAGGACTGAATTTGCAAGAGGAGGAAATCCTTAGACTAGCAAAGTTCTTAGGTTGTAAAGTCAAAAATTGGCCTTTGGAGTACCTTGGACTTCCTTTGGGTGGAAACCCTAGATCTGAGAGTTTCTGGAAGCCTTTGTTGGAGAGATTTGCTAAAAAATTGGCACTTTGGAAAAGGAACTACATTTCTTTGGGTGGGGGGGATAATTTTGATCAAAGCCACCTTAGCTAACCTTCCCATATACTTTTTGTCCACCTTCCGTATCCCTATAAAAATTGCTGGGCAACTAGAAAATTTAATGAGGGACTTCTTGTGGGAACTGGGGGATGGGAAGAAAGACCACTTGGTGAAATAGGAACAGCTTAGTAAACCTAAAGAAAAGGGTGGGCTAGGCCACTAGGAATAGGAAATTTAACTCAAAAAGAATTTAGCCCTCTAAGGAAAATGGCTGTGGAGGTTTCCTTTAGAAAGTGATAGGCTTTGGCACAAGGTAATTGCAAGCATACATGGTCGGATGGACAATGGCCGGGATGCAAAGGCAGCTCCCAATGCAACTTCAATTTCCCCTAAAAGCAATTTATGAGGTATATATCCTTTGTGAATCTCATCCAGTATGATGTGGGAAATGGTTAGAGAGGCTTGTTTTGGGGGGACCTTTGGATAGGTTCGCAACCACTAAAGGTCAAATTTCCTGTGCCTTGTGCACTTTTCTGCAACAAGTTTGTGAGCTTCTCTGCATTGGGCCTAAATTGGGATCTTGGATTCAGAAGGGGCATTAGGGAAACAGAATGTGAATCTCTCATTCTTCTTTTGGCTAGTCTTGACTACTTTTTTTGGCTCCAAATGTAGAGAACAACAGGGTTTGGTCCATTACCTCAGATGATCTTTCCACTTGTGCTTCCTTTTTCAACTTCTTATTTAGATTTCAACCATGGGGGTAAATTTCCCAGTGAAAGAAATTTGGAGTAAGCCAATCCCTCCTAAAATCCAGCCAGGCACTTTGTTGGGAAGCTTTCCTTAGAAAGATCAACACTTGTGATATGTTGCAGTAAAGAAGGCCAAATAAGTGCCTATCCCCTCAGATGTGCTTTCTGTGTAAAAGCAATGGTGAAACCATCTCCCATATCTTTTTATCCCGTCCTTTTGTACTTTGTATTTGGGAACATCTTTGTTTTCTATATGGGTGTAGGTGGGCTCCTCCTCAGGATGTGGTGGGTCTCTTTGACCCAAGCTTCTTGAAACAGCCGAAGAAAAGGGGAAGAATTATGTGGAAAGCAGCGAAAGCTGCCATGTTATGGGCTGTATGGGATGATGAAAAGGAATGGGAGGATTTTTAGTGAAAAGAGTAGAACAGAGATGGAAGGAAGTGACATTTTGAGAACTTGGAAGGTTTCTCAACAAATGACATTTTGAGAACTTGGAAGGAAGTGGCATTATTGGCTCAAGCCAAGGAAAAAATAAATATGGAATGGAGACCCTCAGCAACCAACTTTGATAGGAGTTATATTGGTAATCAGGCTGCGGCTGGACTAGGAGTGGTCTTCTGAGACACTGAAGGAAAGGTGTTAGCATTGTTTTCAGGAACTTTAGCAGATGGTAATGCATTGATAGCAAAGCTGTGTGGATTGCTCCATTGTTTAAAATTTGCTAAGCAATTTGGGTTCTACAACTTGGAGGTGGATGGGAGCTCTCAGGTGGTCATTTTATGGACAAGATGCAGCTCCCATGGATCTATAAACATACTTTTTGGGAAGTAGAAAGCATAACAAGGGAGCTGAGTGTTGTCTTCAAATGGGTGAGAAGATTAGCAAATGGGATGGCGGATGTTTTGGCTAAACAAGGGACAGCTAGGCATCAAATGTTTTGGGCAAAATTATAAATTATAACGTTTGTCTTTAGGGTGGAAAAATCCCACTTATTTGTAATACTTGAACTTGTTATTAATAAATTAATAAAATCTCTTTTCACTGATATAAAAAAAGAATGTAGGCTTATGATTTCACGTGAATTACTGGACTCTAGATGAATTTCATCCAGTTAATTGATTTTAGACTTGTAATTGGGAAAGAAGACTCAAGATTGTTTATGATTTTGAATTAAAATGGGATCAGAAGATGACTCAAACTGTTGATGCATCCAAATAACAGATTAAAATTCCAAGAGTTAGAATTCCTTATGTTGGAATCAGAAGAGTTTTCTTTTTTTTTTAAATTTTATTTTATGATCTATGGAATTCTGTATCTATCAAGTGGTTAATGGTCTATATTTCTCTTAGGGGGCGTTCTTTTTCTGTATTTTGAGAGGGGGGAAAGTTGGTCAATGGGATTTTGATTCCCACTGACCAAGAATTCCATGTTCTTTTTTCAGATTTATGTGGGGGACTGGGTAAGTGATACCTATCTCCTAGGTGGGTAAATAACTTTCCCACCTGGGGGAAAATTGCCAACACTTGAATGGGACAAAAATGCCCCTTTTAATAATGGATTTTTATGGCTAAAATGGTCATTGCCTTATTTACATGGGAAATAAAAGAACATGGGTAAATGCACTTACCTGGGTAAGTCTTTCCTAGGAAATACTTACTCGGGTAAGTACATTTACCTGGGTAAGTAACTTACCGAAAAGTGAATGGGGCCTTATTGTTTTCAAGGTGGTTCTCCTTGTCTTTGGTATGTATATGATATTATGATTTGATCAGAGTGTTATATATATATATATATATATTTGTTCTCCTTGTACAAAAGTGAATCACAAAATTGTTTGACACATGTCCTCATCTGTTTTTCCAGGCCATGTCTAGATGCCCTCAACCTATACCATGCAGCACTTTCAACAATGATGGCTCGATATTTGCATATTCGGTATGTTTTTTTCTTAATTCTTTATGTGATTCCAACCAACGGTGGATTGATCTTTCTTGGCATACCATACTTGTACACTTTATTTGTATATAATAATAGTTACAATTATCTATATATCAAGGACAACACCTTTTAATGAATATAATCTTCATTGCTATCTTTTGCATTAAATTCATGCTTAAATTAGTATGCTTAATACCTTCCGTGGCTTGTATGGGGTTTTAGCCTCTCTCTCTCTCTCTCTCTCTCTCTCTCTCTCTCTCTCCCTCTCCCTCTCCCTCTTCCTAATGTTAGTCATGAAGTGATTTGGTATTGGCTTGTTTCAATGGAACTTTTAGGTGTGCTACGACTGGAGTAAAGGTGCAGAGAATCATAATCCAGCAACAGCAAAGACCTATATTTTCCTTCACCTACCACAGGTATGTTTTGGGAACAAATCTTTGTTATGATTACTGAAGTTCTTTGAGTAGTCATTTAGCTATGATGAATTTGAAATTTTGAATGATGAAAGAAATTCTTGTCTGCCTTTCTGACAAGTCTTTGGGTTTGAGCAGGAGTCTGAGGTAAAAGGCAAACCAAGGATTGGAACCAGTGGGAGGAAATGAATTTGGTATCCGGTAGTGCAACTAAATGGGACAAACCAGTTTTTTTTTTTTATTATTTTTGTAAATGGTAGCATTATTTTAGTTTTTTTCCTAGCTAGTTTTGAAGAAGTTAAACAGTCGTGGTCAGTCAATGAATCATGAATGTATTTTGGAAAGTGAGGCTTTTTAAGTTACGGGGACCTTCTTTGTTCAGGTTGAAGTTGGGGATTTGCAGAGCTCTTAAGTTAATTTGGTTCATTACTTGATTGTAAAAGGAGGTTTCGGAGAATAGTTTGATACAGCTACAATACAAGTGAAAACCATCTGCGGCTGTAAGTTAATTCCAATTGAATGGTGCCTTTAATTTAGTATTTTGCACAATTACGCCTTTCATAGGTGGGACAAATTTGGTTGTCCATTGATTGATTACCTAAAATGATTGTGTGATCTCAAGGCATGTGCAATTGGAATTACCTAAAATGCTGGTTTTGTGATCCAAGGCAAGTTCAACAGTACATAAAAGCATTGCAAGTTTCCTTTAAATAATGGAATTTTATTTCACATTTATGCACTGAAAAATTAAAACCCTTACGATTGAGGATTCTGTACATGTTTGTATTTGCACTTTTTTCAAACTGAGTTACAGGAACATCTAAAATAAAGGATTAAAGTATTGGTATTGTGTATTGTATCGAACAATTTGGATGCAGATACGCTTGGGAAATGTATGGATATAGATGAAAAATAAGAAAACGCCTGAATATGTTAGGGAAATGCATAGAAGTTTCATATATATATTAATAATATTATGTTTAATGTCAAAATAATTATAAATAATATACATAGGAGTTTTATATTTTAATGGCATGTATGAAGAAATATATTACAAATAATATAACAAGATGCATAGATATTATGTAAATTTATTGATAATGCATCAATCAAGAATACAAGACATTATATAGATTCTTAGAAATTAATACATCTACAAAGTCATTATTATTTTATTTTCTATTAAAGTCCAAGGCACAAAACATATGTAACTATTCTGTTTGAATTACTATATCAATATTTCTATTTTACTATTTTTAATTTTTAATATTAACAAAAAATCAACAAAAAAATTAATTCTCATATGTTTGGTAAACAATTTTTTCATTTTTTTAAAAAATAAATGTTATTATAAAATATAAAGTATTAATTAATAATTTATAAAAAAATATATAATCTTAACTTAAAATATATCAAATCTATTAAAATTTTGAAGATATATATCATATGAAGATTCATAAATTTTAATTACTAAAATAATTATTTTTATTTTATAAAATTTCTAAAATACAAAATTATTTAATTTTTATATAAATGTAGATTAGTGGAATTGACCAATTAAATTTATGTTTGTAAATAATATTTTTATTTTTGTAAATAGTAAATAAATTGTTATTTAATGCAAATTAAAATAGTAATTAATAATTTATAAAGATTTGAATATACATATAATGTGCAACTTTATAAATTTTAAGTATTAAAATAATTACTCTATTATTAATAATTTTATTTGTATAAATTTCTTGAAATTAAAAATCACTTTTTGGTATATATGTAGATTTGATAAATTATTTATTGCATTTTTTATAAAATACTAATTTTGAAAAATATTCATTTTAATTTATAGTTGGAGTTATTGAATATTAGTATATGTTATTTATTTGTATTGTATGTAGACTACTGGTGATAAATATTATTATATTTCATTTATTATCAAATGGTAGAAAATGTTTTGGTGGTTGATGAAGCATATGATCTTTTATCGTTGGGAGATTTTTAGTTTTATGGTTCGAATCACGCCAGACTCATTTTTTTAAGTGAGATGCTGGTTTGTTGTTGTCAGACGAAGGCTGCTATTTATTGTGACCGGGAATCAATTCCAAAACAAGCTTCTGCATATTAGCAAAAATCTAATGATGCTGTTCCTTGGATCCTCCCTCTAGAGGAACATTCATCATCATCAGTAATTTTGTCAAATTCCGTTTGTGGGCCAAGGAGACAAACAGTTGGAGAGGCTACATGAATAACTTGGTAATGGTAACTTCTTTTTATTCATGAATCATGATATATAATGGTCAGATGACAGAAATCCATTGTGCATGGAAACCATAACCCAAATGAAATTGTGGACCTTATTGCTGGAGGGAATGAGAATTAATGCAATTTCTCCTCAAGATCAACTAATTCTGAAACAACAACTTACTACAAGATCAAAACCCAGCCGGGAAACCACCTTTTCTTGGGTCACTTACAGCTGCAAGCTCACCAAAGACTGTCCCTTTATCCACTTTTGAACCCTCCAACCTATGAAGAATGAATTGACAAATGGTGCCTCCAGCAAGGCTTTTTAGGATGTGGCCCTTCTTCTGTAGGGCTGCCCTTGTCTCAGCAGGAATTTCGAAGTGGTCTCCATTTACAGTTGTCCAGTTCTCGTACAACACCACATTTGGGATCAGCTGCACCATCCAAACTGTTGTGCTTAAATAACTCTAGGTTGCTACAATAATTATGCCACATTTTCATGGCTCAGCAATTTAGGCACAGTTTGGAAAGAGTATAAATGCAAATATATATAAAATAATATAAAATATAAGGTTTTACACTCTACATATTTACATTTGTACTCCTTCCAAACTGAGCCTTACAAAAAATGGAAAAACGAATTAAACTGGTTTTGGTGGGGACCTGATGATAAATCCTTGGAGCCAAGACAGAAGAGAGTGGATCCATTCCCTTGGCAAAATGATTCAGGAAAACTTCTGTGGTGCCAGCAATGATCATGGCTCCCCCACTTGCACCTACCACTGCCTTTAATTGCCCATCCTGTGGACCCATGAAGTAGACAAAGATTGAACATTCATATCATGGAAATTGGATAACTTTCTCCCTTGGTAGATCTCTTTGTATTGGAACCTTTTTATATATTTTCAGGCCAAATGCCATGGACTAAGGCCAAGTTGGGTAGTGTTTAAAGACAAGTGCTTATTTGATTAAATAAGCATTTGTTTTAGGCTGGGATGACGTCAATAAGCATTTATTGGCGTTTGGGAATTTAGGCCGAAATAAGTGCTTGTTGCAGAGTCCCAAAAGTCGGATATATTTTCTAGTGCTTATTCGAAAATCATTTATTTCCTTTTTGGCCTGGCCTGTCATGTCATTTTAAAAATACTTATACTACCCTTAATTGAAACAGAGTTGAGATTTTTTACCAACAAAACAAATTCCTACCTCTACCAACTTATCTAACACCATGCATCTCATCACAAGACTGGGATCCGCCATGTATGAGATGTGTGGTGTAAGATCACGCCATGTATGGGATGTACAGTGTAAGATTACGTTGGTAGAGGGTTGGAAAGTGTTTTGTTGGCAGGTGATCTGGAAGTTCTTTCTCACCAAACACTCAACTCGTTGAGCACTTAATCACTTATTTAATAAGCACTCTCAAACTTGGCCTAAGTGACCCAGTGATTCAAGTGTAGGTCGTTGGGGAGAGTAAAATTTTTACCTTGAGGACAATTGTAGGTGACATGGAAGATAATGGTCTCTTGTTCGGTCTGATAAAATTGGCTGGTGCCGGTGGTGGAAGATCGGCGGAGCTATTTCCGGGCATGGAGAAGTCATCCATTTCATTGTTGAGTAGTATTCCTGTACTTGGCGACAGAAATACTGCACCAAAGTAACCATTGATGGTAGTGGTCATTGAGACAGCATTTCGCTCTCTATCTACTACAGACATATGGCTGGTACCATGATCCTGGATCTGATTCCACCTGCAAATTAAGAATCGTTGCGGTACAGATTAATTAAATAAATGACCCAGTGATCATTCTGGTTCTATGTCTGGTTTGAGTCTGTAATGCAATCTGCCTTTAATTTACCTGCCACCATAATGGCTGGGAGCAAAAGTCATGTTATCGAATATGGTTTTCTTTAGCTCTTGAGCAAACTTGACAGAGAGCATATCTGAAACAACTAGAGAAACATTAACAAAGTCAGGATCTCCAAGGTTCATCCTCACTGCAAATGCGTGTTTCAGTGCTTCAATCTCCCGGTGGATCCCAAGTGAGCCTGAAACACCTGAATTTCCATACTGAGCTAGAGTGTTTAACACCTGGCAGGAGAAATGGAAAGCGTTAAGATGCGTGAAATTTTTGTTCTTGTATGCAAATTAAGATGACTAATTAATGAGGATATATGTATAAGTGTAATTACTAGCATCATTGATGCACTCCCAGATGAAGGAGGCGGCATTCCTATTATCTTATGACCCAAGACGTCTGCAGAGATTGGCTTTCTCATTCTAACTCTGTAGCTCTGCAAATCTTTCATGCTCATAATCCCTCCAGCCTCTCGAACATCTTTAACCAGATTGAACCCAACTGAGCCGTTGTAGAATACTATCGGGCCGTGCCTTGAAATGGATCTGAGCGTCTGTGCTAGTTTCTTATTACGGCATGTATCGCCCTGCTGCAGTAAGTTTCCGTTCGATGTGAAGATATCACGAAGCCCCTTGTCTGCGAAAATCCCAGATTGTGTTGTACTCATCTGCATGTGGAGATATGGAGATATCTTGAATCCTCTCCGAGCGAGCTTCTCAGCGGGCCTTACTAGCCTCTTCCATGGAAGCTTTCCATGTTCTTTCCAAGCTTCGTATAGGCCTGCAACTTCCCCTGGAACTGCAATGGAGAGTGGGCCACTAGCTTTCAAGGTAGCATTTCCGTTGTACATGTTCTGAAAAGGAGAAGCATGGTAATTAGGGAGATTTATCCATCAATGGAATTCATGACAGTCCAAAAGTTGTTCAATAGGACTCTTGGTCCGAATTGGTAGCTTTCTGGTTTTGGATGATAACATATACTGAGAAGTCCAAACTTTTCATGATGTAAAGAAAATATGCAAATTAAAATTTATAACATGCTGGATTTTTTTTTCAATATACAGGGTAAAGTAATTTATTTTTCAAAAGCTTTGTAATTTACTGGTTTATACATTTGCATATATTTATATTAATTTTACATGCATTTATAAATATATTTAAATATGAAGCAAGCCTTTTAGCTATATTTTTTCTCCTTTTGTAATGAGTTTAATTTCCTTGTCATTTGCATGTCAAAACAAATTTCGAAAGGGGTGAAAAACAATGTGCCCATTCTACATATAAAGAAATGCAGCTAAAGGGAAAATGTTGAACATGAAATCACTTTTATTCACTCATATGTGTATATATATGCTTTACATGTGGTAATTTTAGATGATGAAGATGATAATAATAATAAGAATAATAGAATTAATGTGTCCAAAATTTTCTATATTTGTTTTTGTAATTTTTTATATTTTTATTTTAATTTTTATTATTCAAGTATGGTGTCAAGGGTTGATATATTTGACCCAAAAGGTTGAATTGTTGATTTGGCACTGAGGAAAACAATTTCATTTTTTGATTTGGCTTTAAATTTTGTATTTCATTTCGAATTATCAATAAAAAACAATTATTGTTTATCACACTTGTTTTTCTTTGATAGGGTTAGTATACAATATTATATATGTGCCCAAATTTTTTTAATTTTTATAATTTTTTTATGTATTTATATTTTAAGAACTTTATTATTTAATTATGACATCATGTGATGACCCATTTGACTTGCATGTATGGTTGAATTGCTTACTCACCATGTGGAGGAAGTATGGTTTTTTAGTCAATCTAAAAAAAATGTCAGTTTTATATTGTTAAAAGTATTGGATGTAGATCTAATTAGTAGAATTTATTGGTGAAAAAAGAATAACTTAAACATAAGATTTAATGAGAGAATGTGAATTAATACTTTAAATATGACTATATGAGATTCAATGAGAAGGAATTGAATGAGATGAAAAATAGTAGTTCAAATCAAGGTTCAAAATATCGATATGCTTGATATGCTGGTACTATTTTTTTTCTTTTTTTTTTTTTATTTTTTTCAAAACCGGTTCAAGGGGGCCAGTTAAAGGCTCCTCCACCCCCTGAACCAGTTAGAACCCCGATACGCCCTCTGTGAGCTCCTGAAACAATATCGGCTAATACGTGTCAATACTTTGAACCTTGGTTCAAATTACATTTTTTGCCCTCACAATTGGAGGGATCAAATTCAGAAATAGGGGTATTATAATCATGAAGAAAAGTTCCACAAGCTCATTCATAGTTTTTATAGTAGTGAAAAAAAAATATTTTAATTGTGTTTGGGAGGGCTTCTGTGCTGATTGAGTGGCTTCAGAGAAGCTAAGACTAGTTTCAAGGTTCAAAAAGTTAAGTTCTCAACTGAATGATAGTAGTTTTTTGCTTTCCAAAATTTTCATCAAACACAACTTGCTATCTTTCTATGTGGGACCTACCTTGCAATGCCATAAGCATATCTGGGATAACCTTCTTAAATGGACATTAAATACAGGATTTAACGAGAGAGAGAGAATGAAAGCTAATACCTTAAATATAAAACTTAATAAGAATTAATTGATTGAAGTAAAAAATAATAATTCAAATTACATTTTCTACCTTTACAATTTGAGAGAAGTCAAATTAAAAAAATAAAAATATTTTAGTCAAAAAGAAAGTTTCACACCTTCATTTATACTTTTAACAGCATGAATTTAGTTTTAGATGGATATAAATATAGATATATAGATATATAGTTATGCATGGCGAGCATGGACTTCATTTAACTTTCTAGGGTTTCCATTTAGTGACGCAATGAATCATCAACCTGAGGTGAAGTAGGTTGAGAGGGCTGACAAGGTTTTTCTTACAGTGTTTTTGCCAGATGCAAAGAGTCCAAAGGTAAAGTCTTGAATTCAAAGATAAATCTTCATGATAAGGTGAACATAGAGCATGGTAAAATAAACCTAAGGTGTCAGGAGTATATTCTGTATAATTGAGAAAGCTGAGAAAGTATTGTGGAAGAAGCATTTGTGGTCGGATGAAAAGACACCACACGTAGTGAAAGTTGATTAATTTGGACAAATGGGTGGATGGAGATGATGACAGTGGTCCATCTGAACTGGATTTGGGTGGGATAGATTTTTCGAAATTTGCCGGCATGGAGGAAATGGGTGATGATTATAAAGACGAGATTGACTTCAGTCAGTGCAAGGCCCATTCAAATATTGTTCGAACAGTTTTTTTTTTTTATTTCGGGAGATATTCCCAATGCAAGGCTATAATAGCTGTTCGAATGGACTTTGCACTAACTGAATCCGGTTTCTATGAAGACCAAGGAGTAGAAACACATGAAACACAATAATAAGATGAAAAAAAGGAGAGAAGCTCCGGCTGACAAGGAAGAGCCGGCCTTAGTCACATGAAAACTATTCACTGCAATCAATTTCAACTTTTGGGATGGCATGATGAAGGGGGTAAAATATCATATGATCATTATGGCTTAGTTTGGAAAGAGTATAAATGCAAATATGTGCAAAACTATGTATATTATATTATAAACCTTGTATTTGTACCATGGTTTTCAAAATCGGAATGGATGGGATGGTTGGACTAGAAAAACTGAAAAACTAAGAATCGATCATATAATCGGTTTCGTTTCACCCTAAAATTGTTTTTTAGTCAAAAACTGTTGATTTGGTCAGTGACTCACTGATTCGGTGGCCGAACCGTTGAACCGTCAACTTAAACAATAATTTTGGCCATTTATTTATTTATTTTTTAATTTTTAAGTCAGAACTGACCATCCATTCGAACTGAAGGGTCAGACCATTTGACTCGAGAACCAGTCCCTAGAACAACTTCCTGTTCGGTCTGGTTTTAAAAACCTTGATTTGTATTGTACACATTTATATTTGTGCTCTTCCCAAACTGAGCCTATGGGATTGGTGAGATGTGTGTATTAGGAATTGCAATGGGGCGGGGGTCATATTCCCCATCCTCGACCCTGATTCTGAAATTAATCCTGTCCCCGATTCCTGTTGGGATAAAAGTTGTCCTCCTTCTCCAATCCCCAATGGGGACGGGTTCCTTGCGAGGACTTGAATCCCCAAAATTTTTTAGAAAATAAAATTATTTAAAATAAATAAAAATTTTAAAATATAAATAATGTTTTAAATATGTTTTGACATATACATATACATATACATATACATATATACATAATAGGAATTAGGACGGAGACTTCAACCCCCATCCCCAACCGATCAGGAGTTCCTATTAATCCCCATCCCCGTCCCTACCCCGCTGTTTGCTTTAATTTGTAGTCTCTAGCATTACTGGCTTGGGGCCATCAAAACTCTAGTTTTATGTTTGTTTGCTAGCTGGCCAGATGTATTTTGAAAGATGATGATTCCGAGGTTGGCTTAGCTGGAGATTAGGCATTTAGTTTGCTTTCCACTATCTTTCAACAAATTTCATCTGTTTGTTCAATATATGGGTGCCTGGGTTAACCCTTTTAATTAAGAGTAGGCTGTCGGGTGTCAATGGACTAGGATTGGGTTGGATCCAATTTAAACAGATTGGATGGATTAATAAGACATATTAAATTTGATCAATCTATATTTAATGGTTCAAACCCTAAAAAGTATTTATTCGATTGGATTGGACCCATTTCATGTGTATAGATTTATATTAGACTAGGTTGAATTGAATCAATATTCAGTCCATTGATAGAAGATAAGAGTACAGGTGTTAATGAACTAGGTTTGAATTAAACCTAATCTAAATTAAATCTAATTTAAACAGATTGGACAATTCAGACACTGAATTGGACTAGTAGAGTGATCCAAAATATTCATTAAATTGGATTTAACCTAATCCATCTATAATGGATACATCGGACTGAGTCAGGTTGAACCAATATTTGATCCATTAACATCCCCAATCAAGGAGACTATGCATTCTACTGTAGCTTTATTCTTGGATTTATGTCATCCACTAAAATGCTAGATAATTCAAATATGCAAATGCTAGTCTGCCCAAAAAGTTTTCTTATATGATAATAATGAAAATGACTATGAGCCACTAACCCTGTGAATTGACAAGCTTTCTACTTTATGTCGTCAGCTCCCATCAAATGAGAGGCTAAGAGGTGAGGTTTTCCACTTTTCCTTTACCATTAAATTTTCATACACTAGTGGAAACCTTTAATATTGACAGTAAAGTTTTATTTTCAATGCATTCTAATTTTATTTGAAACGTATAAGCTATTGAAAACTTTTCCCACATTTCTACCCACAAGACACTACATTTGTACTGGGAATATCTTTCTTGAAAATGGTCTCAATGAATCCAGATCATCTGCCAACAAAATAGGTTTCAACCCTCTATCAATATAATCTTACACTGCATATCTCTTATATGGCAGATTCCACTTTTATGGTAGGACCCAGTCTAATGGTGAGATATACGGTGTTAGATTAAGTTGGTAGAGGGTTGGAACACGTTTTCTTGGCAGAAGATCTCAACTCATTTCCAATACACATATGTAGCATCCTGTGGGTAGGAATGTAGGGGTGAGCAAAAATAACCGAAAAATTGAATTGATTAAGAAAAAACTGGTTGAAACTAAATTGAAAAATTGGTTAATTAAACCGTTTAGTTTGGTTTCGGTTAACTAATGTAGAAAACTGGTAGTTAGCTGAACCGACCGGTATACATATATTTCTATATATTTTATATATATTTATGTATATTATATATTTAATATTTTTATATATTATAAATTAATAAATATGCAATATATAATATATATTTATAATATATGATACGTTATTTATTATTCAAAATAAAATATTATATATATTTATAATTTTTATTATATATTTATATATTTTTATAATATATTATAAAAATAAAAAACCGAAAAGCCAACGATTAACCGAACCGATCAACTAGTTAATCAATTAGTTTCGGTTTGATTTTGATCATTGGTTTTTCAAAAACCAATACTACCGATACGGTTACAATAAAAGGCCCATGATTCGATTAACCGAATCGTGAACACCTTACTCCCTACCGGGTACCCGACTTCCCAACGCAATGGAATGGGAATGGGATGGAGATTGCTTTGGTGGGGACAAAGAATCTATTCCTCCTTATCTCCATTGGGGATCGGGGGTGGAGAATCATTTTTATCGTTAGTGGGGATCGGGGTGAGACAGGGATTTATTTCAACGTTAGGATTGGATGGGGATTTACTTCAAAGTCGGGGTCGGGGGTGGGGAATATGGTCCCTGCCCCGAACCCGCCTGGTTTCTATTCCTATTGAAGAGAGAGAGAGAGAGCTGAAGAGGAACCCATGCATGCTTAGGTTTGCATCTAAAATTATAACACCGAGTGAACCGTTTTTCCATTTAACATACCTGAGAAGCTAGGAGTGGAGCAGTTTCTCTCATATCAAAGGCCTGTGTCTTTCCATTGCGTAATCTAATCAACATAAAAGCACCTCCTCCAATGCCGCTCGACGCCGGGCTCACCACTCCCAAGCAGAGAGCCGCTGCAACTGATGCATCTATGGCATTTCCTCCTTCCCCAAGAACATCCCTTCCAATTCTAGAACACCGCCCGTCGTCGGTGGCAACAGCACCATGACGTGCTGTAATTATCTCTCGTCTAGTTTTGTTGGAACCGATCAAACCAGAAACACTCGAACTGCTGCTGGAAGGCAACAACGAGACCCAGAGAAGAGTAATGGTTGGCCAGAAAACCAGAGGAGCTGCAAGTCCACGAATACTAATTACATTCAGCTCTTCATGCTAATTACAATCAGACATAGATCAAAATCACCCATGCAACCATGCAAAATATTAACCAAGTCAGAACGAAAATGATGATTACCTCTTGAACTAACCATAGTACAGAAACAGAACAATCCTGTATAACTAATCCCTATTAATCAAGGTTTGATAGATTGTGGAGCATGTATCTTTGACTACTTTTAGATGAAACATAAACCTTGGAGAGGACAATGAAGTTTATCACAAGTTTCAGACTGACGACTTCCTCTCTGCTCTGCAATGGAGTTTATGAAGGATACTGCTCTGACGATTAAATCGATGTAGTCACATGGGCAGTGTTGAGCGCATGAAAAGACTGAATTTTGTTTGGGCAGTTGAGCCGTGTTGCATGCCCACGCCACTTGCCATGTCCGCACCACAAAATGATCATAATGATAGTAAGATAAAGAACAGGAAATAGAGTAGTGAGAGAGTAAAACAGAGTAAAGTTGTTCGAATGATCAGCCGGGATTTGCTACGCACTCGGCTGTGTATTACATGCTACGCAATCAATCACGAGTGAACACACCAGTGTTTCATGTGGGCTTTATGTGTATGAAACCAGTTCGGATCATGTCAGCACAACGTTGTAAGCATGTTCAATAACCACTTAAAAATATTTTTTGACATTTGTCACTTAAAATATCCTCATTTAAAGTGCTTGCCTACTAGATCCGGTTCCGTATGAAACACTGGCATGTTCATTCATAATTGATTACATAGCCACGTGTGCGGCAGATCTCAAGTTCTTGACTGTATCATTAGAAGAACTTTATTCTATAATTAGAAAGTAAAACTAAGGACTCATTTAGTTCGTGCGAATAGAGGTCTGGAATTGAAATCAAAATAAGTCGTTATGATTCCAACTATTTGGTTGGGAAGAATTGAAATCCCATTCCCACTCTTTATGGAATGGCATTCCTTCATTTGAGAATAAACCATTTCAATTCCAATTCTAATTCTAAAAAATCTCGATTCTAAATCCGATTTCAATTCCAACTACAAATCAAACAAATCCTAATGATGTAACTACAAGAGGTGGAGATTAATCCATGTAGATAGAACAACCCAAAATTGGGTGTTGGGTCCAGAAGCCATTGAGTGGACAAAGAGTGGAAGATATCCAAAAAGATGGATGGGTATCCAGTATCCAAATAGCACGTTGTATAGAGGTTTTGTTTGACTTTCACTCCTAAAAGAAAGAGGGAGCCAGGGAGGGACTGGTCCTATTGAAGTGAGGCGTGGCTTTGTCTTTCACACCATGAATTGGACAGTTTTCTTTGTTGATGTGAAGGGAGAGCACAGGCGGCACGTATCTCTGGCTTGGTTGAATAAAATTAATGAATACGCATCCTAAGAATATGAAGTGTTCGAATTTCCTCCTCATAACATCCATCCTACACCATAGCTTGCAGCCGCATATATGGAAAATTTCTTTTATTTGGATGTTTTCATTTATAGGGAGTAGTCTGATTTGGTGCAGTTTAGAAAACATATTAATCAAATCAATAAATTATGGTTTGAGATATTTCTAAACCAAATCAAATTATTTTAGTATAGAAATTAAATCAAACCGTCTTATTATGGTTTTGTGTGGTTTTTAATTCGATTTAGGAATTTTAGACCATTCTTTGATCTATTGAGCTTAACCCAATTAAAAAACTCAAATAATACTCCTAAAAAATTAAAACTTAAAACTTTTATTTTATTATAAAGTAAAAGGGTTTATTATACATTCAGTTTAAATATATTATATTATATTGTATATAATATTTTTACATCATTTATTTATATAATTATATTATATATTTATAGGATTTGTATTATATATATATATATATATAATTTTAGTTAATGGTTTACAGTTTGGTTTGATTTATAAAGTTCAACATAAGGGTGCAAATGGATCGGATCATGATCTAATCTGATTTGATCCAGATCCGATTCTATTTGGTTGAATTTGGATCATCTATGTTCGGATCTTCGGATCATATCAGATGGAATAATAGGATCTGATCAGAAATCGGATTGGATTTGATCACCCCTCTATCCTTTTCGAGAAGATCCAATCAGATATATATTATATATTTATAAATATAAATATATAATACATATATATGTTATTTATTTATTTATAAATAATTTTTTTATATTATATTTTTAAAAAATTGTTATATTATTTATCTTTTATAAAAAAACATGTATATATATGATGAAAATAATTAAAAAATATTTATTTTTTGTTTTTACTTTATTTAAATTAGTATATCTTATTTTCTTTTAATAATTTATTAATTTCTAAAGAAAGCAAGTCGGATTGGATCAGATCTGAAGACCCGACTTACCAATAAGATTCAAATTCAAATTGAGTCATATCAAATCCATATGAACAATGTTAGATCAGATTTGAATCCAATATAATCCGTTTGCATCCCTAATTCAAGAAACCACACTGAAACCGCAAATCACAATTAATAAAATATAAAACTGAACCAGATCACAGCCTTGGGGTATATTGTTGTGGCCCCACCTTCAATCGAATCGAGGCTAAAACCACGAGTTCTGCTCATCTAACAGAAGATTAAACAGATTCCAGAAAGGCACTGAACAAGTAACTGAAGTCCGAAGGGGAGACGCAATTTGAATTAGAAAGTGAGCTGGCGCATGAAGTTGCATACACGTTGCATGTTTGCCACCATTGCTGCGAACCTACCTTCTTCCTTGGATTAAGCAACAATCAGCAGCGTGTGGGTCTCGTACTCTCGTGATTTCTGCAGGATGTCAAAAATGGTGGAAAGTCATGATTAGATTCCAAACAGACCAATTGATTTTTGAATCTGATAATTATTTTCTCAAATGGGGATGTGATAAATAACTATTGTCTCTATTTGCAGAAGGAATCGAATGGCAATTGGGTTACACAAATTGCTGATGGAATGTTTAAAAAAGGGCTCGCGGTTGCTGTCAACAAGGGAGTGAATCAAAGCATTGGCTGTGCTTTGATATTTTCAGCACTAGTAACTTACTGACATCCACAATGCTGGCTGCATGCATGTATTGACACTTGTATTTCTAAAATATTAAGGTTTTGTTATTTATTTGAGTAAATGCAATTATTGAGAAGCATTTATTAGGGGAAGTGTACTTATTCATGTTTTTTAATTTTTTACTTAAATAAGGCAATGATCATTTTAGGCATAGAAATTCATTATTAAATTGTGTATTTTTGTTTCATTCAAGTATTAACAACTTTTCCCTTAATAGAAAAACTATTTACCCATTTAGGAGATGAGTATCAATTTCTTGGGTAAATGATACATAGGAAATTCAACTTTCCCTTATCCTCACATAAAGCTTGAAAAAAGAATATGAGATTCTTGGTCAATGGAAACCAAAATCCCATTAACCAACTTTTCCCCTTTCAAAATCCAAAAAAAGAACACCCCTAAATATAATTGAATGATTGGTGCCCTTTATTTAATTATTTATAAGGAATTTAATGTATTAATGCCGTTTCTCTTTGGAGTTTATGCATGTCAGTGTCATGTATTTTGTTTTCTCTTCCACTTCTCAATCTTCTTTTTTTGTCCAGTATTTTCTCCTTTTTTGGCCTTTGTGGCACCTAATGGTGCTTAACTTGCACAAAACCTGGAATAATTATATTGTATTTCAAAGGCATGCCCGAGAAAATGACATTGATACTGAACAAAGCCTTAATGCTTTATTACTAAGGCCCCATTTGGTTCACGGGAATAGGGGCCTGGAATCGGAATTGGAATGGGCTATTCCGGTTCCAGCCAAGATTTTTAAAACCGGATCAGATAGGGGACTGCCTTGGGGACTGATTCTTGGGTCGAATGGTCCGCCTATCCACTTTGAACGGATGGCCTGTTCTAACTTAAAAAATAAAAAAAAGACCAAAAACTGTTGTTCAGGTCAACGGTTTGGCGGTTCAACTGCTTTGGTTAATATGTTGTTGACCAAATCAACGGTTTTTTGACAAAAAGTGGTTTTAAAGTGAAACTGAACTGATTCCCGATTTTTCTGATTTGGTTTTGAAAACCATGATTCCAATACTGTTTGGTTGGACGGAATCGGAATCTTGGTGGAATGGTATTCCTCCATTTGAGTTTGAGGGAATGACCATTCCCTCCCCCTTCATGTTGATTCCAAATTCCATTCCCATTCCTATTTGAACCAAAAAAACTATGAGAATAAATCATTCCAATTCTAATTTTAAAAAATCAGAGGATTTGGATTTCGATTCCGATTCCAACTATAGACCTCGATTCCGATTCCAACTATAAACCAAACGGATGCTAAAAAACCTTAATCCTCCATATAAACGGATCCTAAAAGCCACTTCTTTAAGTTAAATAACATATCAAGGTATCACATGCATCAAGACGAGGTATCTAAACGATCCCAAATCTATTCGTTCGGCTGGGGTTCATGAGCTAATATCTGCCTCAGTTGGCACTTGGCAAGGCCTTTGGCTGCTTCTAGCATAGACTTACGAGTTGCGATTGAATCCTGCCTGCACCAAGGGACCAGGGTTGAGGGTTATAACGGTCCTTTTTGGCGTGATCCAATTTAACCCCAAAATTTTGGGCTTAAGCTTAGGTTTTGTCTTTATAATCAACTTGGTCCATACATATTTATATATATTATATATATAATATGATATATTTATATATTTAATATTTTATAAATAAGTCATAATCCCATATCCTGATCTAACCCGGCCCATGGAGGCCTGGGTCAAGGTTTATGGTTCAGGCCTCAAACCTGAGCCAGGCTGTGCACATGATTACCCCCTAGTTTATGGATTTCAGGATAAGCTAATTCCGTTGAGCCTTAGCTGATCGACAAATAATTATTCAGATTAAATAAAATTAAGATAAAATTAGACCTGTTCATAGGCTGGCCTTTGGGCCTGAATTTACACTGTATGTGTCAGGTTTGGGCTTTGGTCAAGTCTATTCAAATGTTGGCAAAAACTAAATTCAAACCCGATTCATGAATACATCTACATAAAATTATATAGATTTTATATTAAGCGATGTCATATAATATGCTCATTTACGTTATATACATGAAAAAGTGAAGTTTAAAAGTGGTAGTTGACTAGTTGCAAGAATAATTAATCCATTTTTTTTGTTAGAAAGTTGGATTCACGAAGGGGAAACAAAGATACAAAATACGACCAAAAACTAAAGGCCATAACACTGACACAAAGACATTAAGGGTCTATTTGGTTTATAGATAGAATCAGAATCAAAATTCATCAGAATTAAATTCTAATGAAATTAAAATTGGAAGGGTCTATTCCCATTGTTTGGTTGGTTCAAATGGGAATAGAAATCAGAATGGCCATTAATTCC